GTTTAGTATAGTGTTCTTTCAGGTCTGGGGGTCCACAAAGAAAGAAGTTTTACAAGAAGTTTTGAAAAGCCAGAGAAAACTGTACAAGTGCCTCTAATCCAAAAGAGATTTTTCCTAAAATAAGAAGTGAAAACGAAGCTTCCCTAGGACAAGGACGGAACCTTTCTAATAATATTTGAGTTTAAGTTCACAGGTGCAGAAATGAAAGGGGGTCTGGAAAAGATAGTTAAAATTGACATGCTGTGCAACAAACAACAGATGGGAAGTAACATTTATCTCAGGACTTAGTGCTCTCCCCTCTCCAGTAAATATGCCACATACCATTAGAATACTTGGTTTTTTTTGAGGAAGATTAGCCCTGAGCTAACATTGGCTGCCAATTCTCCTCTTTTTGCTGAGGAAGACTGGCCCTGAGCGCATGTCCCTGCCCATCTTCCTCTACTTTATATGTGGGACGCCTACCACAGCATGGCTGTGCCATGTCCGCACCCGGGATCCGAACCGGCAAATCCCGGGCCTCTGAAGGGGAATGTGTGCACTTAACCACTGCGCCACCAGGCCAGCCCCTAGAACACTTTTTTAAGCTTTAAAATTCCATAATTTTTAGAGAGTGTGTCTATGACGTGGTGATGAGCACTTATTTGTTTGGTAAAGTGTGTTAATCATTTATCCAACCAACATTTCCTAAGCACCTACTATGTACCAGGACTGCCTTGATATGTGTGCCTCATCTATAAATAAAGTACCAAATATTTAAGAATCATCTGAAGCAAGAATGTTTTTCCTACCCACACACATTTTTTAAATATGTTCATACCAAGGCATTATGATTCGTTTTACCTGCTTGTTTCTTTGTTTACTGAAAAATTGGACATCAAATTGTTTCTAAATTAGTTTCAAGGTTTGCAGCAAAATTATAGCTTTTACAGACATCAAAGCAATAGCTCAGAGCGATTGTAAAATAATAAGCAAATACAGTAAATTAGGAAAAGAATATAGCCATTTTTAATCGAGTGTGTTCTCATTCATTATTAAATATAAGAAGAGGATAAATTATATAAATTCTCATATCAGTCACTTTTACTTATGCAACACATTATTGTGATAATCTTCAGTTCTGTCTGTTGATCAGTTTGACAAGCTGGTGCTTCATTATCATATTATTTGTATTAAGAATTTCTTTGCAAACAATGTAAGTCAATTTCCATGTGCTATCTGATCTGTACCTAGAAATTTGCCTCATTTTACTGCACTTTGTAACCTTTCATAAATTGAATTTTTCATTTTCAAATTTAATTGATTCAAATTATTTTTGCCTATAATTGTGTTAAGAAAGTGATTGAAGTTAAGATTTTGAAAAGCAGGCCATAAATTGAGCAACATTAGTTTTAAATAGAACTATTCCATCATGGATTTTATTATTCAGCCATATAAATAGTACTGATAGAAATTATCCATGGTGAGAGTAGTAGTTTTTATTTGTTTTATTTAATTATTATGTCAATAAACAATGGCCACTCCTGTTTAAATATAATACACCTATAAAAAATACTATTCTCTGGTTGGCTGTGGGTGCAATTGTGCAATCTGTACACAATGTCAAGCCAGGAAAAAGAATGTGGAGTATTTAATGCATGATGTTTGGGTGGATACTTGCAACCAGGATAAAATTGTACTTCTTGCATTCTCGTTGGCAACAAAAAAGTTTCATTGCTATACCTACATCCTTAAATGTTGCCCTAGGACTATACCATTGGTGTCTGGGAGTGCAGTCTGGCATGAATCAGAACACCAGGAGCAAGAGCCCCAACCTCTGTATCCTCGGAGGAGAGAAAATTGCAATTTGATGGAGGCTGTGGTTGGATTACTTAAGGATTCAGTTTTATCCTCATTTTGACATGTGGTTAGTAAGTGATGAAAGGGGGTCAACAAAGATCTGTTGGATGTAAAAGCACTTTCCACCTTACACTGCCTTGGCTATATGGGACTAAGAATTCAGTCCAGGTTGCAGGCAACACATATTTTGGGTCCATCCTTCCTACTTGCCCATTCCCAATGATCCTAGATTCGAGGATCTAGGACTCTGTGTGTAAACAACTTTCATTTCCATCTTTCCCCTTTAATATATACCTCTTCTGCCTTCTGTATCTCTCAAACCACGCTCTTCCACCCCACTCCTCTGACTATTTCTAATTCAGCTGAAAAGTTAACCTTTCTCAGCTAAGATTTCATCAGCAGTGGGGTGTAATAGAAAGAGCACAGACTTTGGCTTTTTATCATCAGAAACACCTGGATTTGGATTTCAGTCCATCCCACTTGATCTTAGGCAAGCTACCTAAATCTTAATTTCTTCATTGACAAAATGGAGATAATAACAATAATAATATATGAGGATAATAATACCAGCTTGTGGTATAAAGGAGTTCCCATAATCCAGCAATGCTGGCTCTCATCCTCACCCCTGATATCATGCTTCTACATCACCATACTGAAACAGGGAGGCTTTTCCCAGTTTGTTGTTTGCCTCATAAGTTTGCTTATGGTGATTTTTGATACAAAATTCTTTTAATATAAAAAACGAAACCAGGAAAAAATAAGATAAATATTTAACGGATTTCAACATTAGGAAGTCCCTTCAAAACATGAAAGCACTGGAAGAAACGAAAAGGAAATTACTTTTTATGTAATCCCTTCCCTAACTAAGCTAATATTCTAGTTATTCTCATTTGTGTATTTTTCCACGTAAACTTTAGAATAATTTTGCTGTCCCATTAATAAATTATTTAAATTAAAGTATTGATAAATTATAAATATAATCTGATTAATATATAAATTATAAATAAATAATAAATTTATAAATAATAAAATTAGTAAAAATCCCCACTAAAAATTCCCTTGAATACTTTGACAAGAATCGTATTAAATTTAAGTGTGGTGATCAAGCTGAAGCTGAGGGCTTTACAAGGAAAGCAAGGTTCTTTCAGAAACCTCTATCAAATTTCTGCTTACATAGCATTACCCAAAACTGTCACACACATGACTACTTTTCCCTGCAAGGGAGGCTATGAAATGATGTTTAGCTTCCAGCCTCTAGAGTGGAAGTGGGAGAAGGGAGATGAGAATGGGTGATGAGTGAGCCCACCAGCAGGGTGTGCCACAAAGTTTCCATGGAAGAGGGATCAGAGGCAGGAGCTGCAGGAGCTGTTTCCGTGAGTATCTGTGCAAGACTGGTCACAAGGAGTGTTGCTGTGGGATCCAGGCAACGCAGTGCACACCTGAGAAGGCCACTCTGTCCCTCTTTGCTGCAGGCAGCCAAATAGCTTTGACGCTCTGAGGACCGGGAGCAACCATAAGGAAGAGTGTCTGTGCCTTGCAGATCAAAGAAGAGTCTGGAGCAGCCAGCAGAGCAGTAGTCTTGTGAGGAGCCTCTCTCAAATGCCTGCAGGTATGGGGGCTGGCCCCGTGGCTGAGTGGTTAAGTTCGCAAGTTCCACTGTGGCACCCCAGGGTTTCACTGGTTCAGATCCTAGTCAAGGACATGGCACTGCTCATCAGACCACACTGAGGCAGCATCCCACATGCCACAACTGGAAGGACCTGCAACTAAGATATACAACTATGTACCAGGGGAATTTGGGGAGATAAAGCAGAAAAAGAAAATGCCTGTGGGTATCGCATCTTTGGGCAAATGCTATTGGTTACCTATCCAACAGCCATGTCCCCTTCTTCATGGCTAATGGAACCCCAGTTTGTTCTGGAAGCCATGTTCCCAGGACCCATGGGTGAACCATGTTTTGTCAAAGCCCATCATGGCAGTTGCAGTCCCACTGGGCCAGTGATTGATCTAGAGATGGGCAACGTGACCCAGCTTTGGCCAATGAGATTTTAGGGGAGTCTGCTAAGAGTGGTTCTAGAAAAAAACTGTCTTGCCTGATAAAAAAGACACAGCCTTATGAGAAGAAAGCCCTTTTATCTCTGCCCTTTCTTCCTTCCTTGAACATGGTCAGGGTGGACATTATGCTTGGAGCTGTGATTCTTGTGACTTGCATCCACAAGGCAGCAGCCTAAGGACAAAAGCAATTTTTCCAGGTTGGCAAGAGTGGAAACATAGAAAAAGTCTAGGTCCTTGATGATTTTGTTGAATAAGCCAATGCATCACACCTGGTACTGCCTACCTCTGGACTAATGATGGGAGGTAATTAAACATCTTTATTATTTAAACCACTGTTAGTGGAGGTGCTTTATTACTTGCAGCTGAAAGCATTTCTAACTGATACAGCTCTTTAAAAAGGAGATCAGAGGAGAGCATTGCGAGTTGCCTTCTTCTTGAGTAAAGGCTGCGAAGCAGATGTCAATAGAAGCCAAGGAGACAGCAAAATCTGAGTATAAACATAAATGTGACCTCTTTCCAATATCCACAGGCAGTGAGGCCCAGAGACAGTCAAGTTAAACCAAAAAAGTAATTTGAGAAGTGACATTTTTACCCAACACAGTCTTCCCTTTTAGGAAGACAATATATTTCTCAATTATATAAATCTCTTCTAAGTTTTACGTTCTTGTAACATGTGTCATATTTCTTGTTAGGTTTATTTCTAGATGTTTTATGTTTGGGGTTGTTGTCTCTTGCAAGACGTTGGGGTTTCCTAGGGATCTGTCTTCAGCCCTCTTTTCACCCCACAATTGCTCTAAATGATACCTCCTCTCCCATCCCTCCCCCAACTCCTACTTCAAGCTGTTCTTTCTCCATTCTAGCCGAATACACTTAACCCCCTAGGTACATAGACTTTTGCCTGGACTGTTTTTTGGAGGTCATCCAATCCTGATTGACGGGAAAAGGTAACATTTGGAATCCAGTGAGCTTGAGGTTAAAACGTTTCATGTTAGCAATTGCTAAACAACTGTACATCAGATTAGGTCAAGAATTTGTGAAATATTTGTGCTAAATGAAATGCCAAAGCACAAAGTGTATGAAAGAAAAAAATCTCTGTGCCAGTCAAAATGTCATTCTGTCTTGCAGCAAGTAATTTATTCCTTTCTGTCTTTATCGCTGTTCTTGTTTCACACATATTAATGTTGCCTTTAAATAACTGAAATTAATAGTGGCATTTATCAGTGGTTAAGGGTAAGAACTAAAGAGCTAATTTAGAATCACTCAGTCAATTTGAGCGCATTGTTAAAATGGAAATTGTTAATCCAACCTTAAAAATAAGCTCTTACCTGATTGTCCAAAGCATTTACACTGCAGCCATTATCTGTTCTGTTAATTTTTGTAATATATAAAAAGAAGGCATATGGAGGAGAACAAATGTTTTTTAAAAGCTATATCTGAGGAATTGCAAACAAGATAGAAATGCTATAGATATGATTACCAGACCCAGGTAGCCCTCAACAAATGGAATGCCAGTGGCTTGTTGAGTTTATTATAAACAAAACTCCATAACTTTCATCACCATTTTCCCACTGCTTTTAATTTCTAAATTGGCAGAGCGTCCCAGAACATGGCTCCTCTCCATGCCATTTGCTTTCTCTGAGAGCAGCTTTCTGTTGCACAGTCATGGCCAAACAGTGGGGAACTGGTCCTGCTCTTGATGCTACAGTTGCCTGGTTAATAAACCAAAATGCTTCCCTGCAGGCAGCAGGGCCAGGACTAGGGTGAAGCAATCAAGGTGGCCAGAGCACAAAGTTCAGGAGGCAGTCATTCTCAGGTGCCCACCCTGTACTTCCACGGCCCTGAGAGTGAATGCTTCCATAAATGTTGCACCCTAGGCAGCTCACTTGCCTCACACTTGTCCTGGCCCTGGTAAGCATTCTTGCTGCTCTTGGAATTGAAGAAAAGGACTTGGAAGTAAAGAGGAACTCTATAAATCTTCTGACAGTGATAACTGGGTTCCTACCCAATTATATTAATTCCACATATTAGAAATTTTACAATATGAATTTCAAGAGTAATAGGAAGCATGTATTATTAAAATGAGAAAAATTTCTCAAAAAGGAGTCCAATTAATGGTCCAGAATGGGCCAACAGTGTGAAAGGACCATTTGGGCCCAGAATTTGGGCCTCAAGTTTCCAGATTTGGAGCTCAACTTTATCAGCATAAAGAGAAATGGTCAGATAGAGGAAAAATGGCAAGAGAATTACAATAACCCAGAATCCCAATTTACTAAGTTAGAGTTGTAGATATTTTCTAGTGACAATATCCTAGTGTTCAATGTTCAGGACACCCCTCCTTAGAGTCAAGGGACGTGGAACAAATTATGAGTCATCAGATGGCTGCAAGTCAGCATGGAAAGAGAACAAAGGGGCAGTGAATGACAGGGATATTTCATCCAGGCCAGGGAAAGTCCTGCCTCACCCCAGAATACTCTGGGTATCTATTCACTCAACAAATATAAATTGTGCCCCTACCATGTGCTCAGGAAAACTTGTCAGCCCTAGCTTCAAAATGAATTCTAAATCCAGTACTTCCTGCCACCTCCACAGGAACCATCTAATTCAGGCACCATCTTCCCGCACCTAGATTAATGGACTCGGCCCCCTGACTGGTCTCCCAGTTTCCACTCTCTCCTAGCTACAGTCCGCTCTTCACCAAGCTGTCAGGCTGATCCTTTTAAAATATGTCAGCTCAAGACGTACCTCTGCGCAAAACCCTCTATTGGCTTCCTACCTGTTAGAATAAAATCCCAAATCCCTTTCTTGGGCAGTAAGACCTACATGATCTCACCCCAGCTCTCTCTCTGATCTCATTTCCTACCACTGCCCACCTCACTGACTCCATTCTAGCTACACACGCTTTCATTCTGCTCCTGGGATACCCCAAGAATGTTTTTGCCTCAGGACCTCTGCACATTCCCCTTCTGCTTGAATAATTTATTCCCAGATATCTGCATGACTCAATGCTTAAATGTCTATGCTTCACTGTCATCTCTTGCAGAAGCTCTTATGACCACCCTATCTAAAACAGCATCCTTCCTGCAATTTCTGTCCCCTTACCCCAAAATATTTTTCTTTAACCATCTGACAAGTTTCCTGTCTCACCCCAGCAGAAAGTAAGCTCCATGAAATTTTACCTGTTTTTGCCCATTTCTGTATCCCTAGTACCTAGAATATTGCCCAGAACATGGAAATGCTCCGAATATATTTGCTGAATTAAGGGTGACTACACCTAGGTTATGTAATAATTCTGGTCACTAGAGGGGAGTAATCTTTGGTGAGTCAGGACTTTTCTCTGGCCTAAATGAAATAGCCTCTCAGGACTCTTGATCTCCCTTTGCTCTCTGATGGACTAGCTGAGGTCTGTAAGAGAAAAAGAGGGATCAAGGTAATACTAAGATTTTTAGCATGCATTTATGGAAGAATGGAGTTCCATTTATTGAGTCAAGGAGATCTATGGGAGGAGTAGATTTGGGGGTTAGGGGCTGAAAATCAATCATTCATTTTGGAACATCTTAAGATGTCTATTGGATACCCAGTGGAGATACTGAGTAGGCAGTTAGATATAAGAGTCTATGGTTCAGGGGAGAGATCCAGGCAGGGCACATAAATTTGGCAGTATATGGAAGGTGTTTAAAGTCATGGACCTATGTGGATCCCCTGGGGGTGAGTGTAGACAAAGAAGAGTGGAGTTCTGAGACACTCCAACATTTAGAATTCAGGGAGATGAGAAAACACCACTGAAAGACACAATATAGGAAAGCAGGGAAAAGAGGTAGCAGTTGAAGGAGGACATGGGTCTAGGAAGGATTTCTATGTATGGGAAATATTATAGTATATTTGATGCAATGGAAATGATCCAGTGAAAAGGGAAAAAATTAATGATGCAGGAGAGAAGAGCAATTGTAGGAGTGAAGTTCTAGAGTAGGGAAGAGGGGCTGGATCCAGTGCAGAGGTGGTGAGACTGACATTAGATAGAAGCGCAAACAGTTCACCTATCATAGCAGGAGAGAAGATAGACTCTATGTGCACAGATGCCAGAAGGTGGATAGATGTGGTGGTAGGAGCTTGTGGAAGTTCTTTTCTGGTTGCTTCTACTTTCTCGTGAAATAATGGATTGCAGCTATCGGTGATATTCAAGAATCACAGGGAATCAGATGTTCAGAGGTATGTATTGTGTGGAGGAGAGGGAGTGAGACATTTGAAATTGTACCATTTTTGTGGGGAGTGCAATTGGTGAAATGACAATGTTGAGGGTATGACCATAGGAGCGGGGATTGAGGTGGGAATGGAAACAAAACCACACATGTGACTGGCCAGTGTGTTGGATGCATGGTCTTTCCTGATATAATCTGGGGCTGATGCTGTATAAGTAACATTAGCTAATATTCCCTGAGCTTAGACAATCTGTGCAATTCTCTCCTTTAATCCTCACAACAACCCCAAGAACCAGAGATTCTTATTCTCCAGTTGTTTCATCTGTGTCACAGATGAAAAAAGTGAGGCTCACAAAGGTTCATTAACTAGCTCAGGGTAATGCAGAAATAGGGATGCAGGATTCAGACTCAGGTCTTCTAACCCCAAAGCCAGGCTCTTTCCCTTGGCCTGTGCCAAACCTCTCCTATTGCATCACCTGCAAGCTTTAGTCCATGATCACCAGTTATATGTGAGTTTGGTCAGGGAGTCTTTTGTCTCAACTTTTGTTGTTTGAGCCTGAGGCAGAAATCTGATCCTGAGTCTAGATGATTCAGTCTCCTGAGAGAATAAGCCTCTTTTTCCTCTTCTGGGTTAATGTCACCTTTGGGCATTGAAAACCAACATAAAGAGGCAAGTCGAACTGCTATAGACTGTTAGGGTTTGTTTGCTTTGGGGGAGGGGGGTGAAATTATTAGCCTGCCCCAGCAGCTACCTTTGTCTTACTGTAGAAGGAGACCCTTGGAAAATCCTACAGTCTGGGCCAGGAGACTTCTTGGTCATTTATCACATGATAACCCTCCATCTGCAAAAAAAGTGAGGTTGATACCCTGTCACTGATATTCCTAGAGCATTCTGCTGCAAGTCCAGGGCTCTCTATCCCCAGGACGTAATTTATGCAAATAACAAGGGAAGAAAGTACAGACATGAAAGTTTCCACAAAATTCATACATTTCTTGCTGCAGTTGGGAGAAATTTGCATGATTTCTGCTTTGTAATAATTCTACTGGAGAGTAGAGGAATCCTACCTCTCGGTGCCCCAAATGAGAAAAAGAACAATTGCAACTAAATGTCATCACTGTTTATCATCTAGACCAGAACCATCTACTGGAAGTTTCCGCAATAAAGGAAATGTTCTGTAGCTGTGCTTTTGAATTTGGTAGCCATTAGCCACATATGGGTGTTGAACACTTAAAATGTAGCTAATACAAATGAGGAAGTAAATTTTAAATTTGATTTAATTTCAATTCATTTAAATTTCAATTTAAGCCATCTGTGGCCAGTGACTACCATATTAGACTGCACAGATCTAGATTATAAAACAAAAGGCCAAGCTAATTCACCCCTTTGAACACAGTGACCAAGTTTCCCCACAGAGGCTTGCCATGAAGAGCCTTGCTTGGTGAGGAGGATCTCCACTGCTCACATCTGTTGAACAAAAGACAGAAACCCCACATAATCATTTTCTATTACTGTAAAAAATTACCACAAATTTTGAAGGTTAAACCAATACATATTTATTGTCTCACAGTTTCTGTAGATCAGAAGTCCACGTATAGAGTAACTCAACCAGGTTCTCCACTTAGGGTCTCACAAGGCCCAAGTCAAGGCGTCAGCAGGGCCACATTACTTTCTAGAATGGAAGAAAGGAATTTCTTCCTTCCTTCCTTCCTTCCTTCTTTCTTTCTTTCTCCCTCCCTTTCTTTCTTTCTTTCTTGGAAAAATCCACTTCCAAGCTCATTCATGTGGTGGGCAGAATTTAGTTCCTTGCTGTTGTAGGACTGAGGTTTCTGCTTCCTTGCTGATTGTCAGCTGGGTGCTGCCCTTATCTCCAAAAGGCCTCTCTCTGGTCTTTGCACATGGCTCCTCTATCTCAGATCCAGTAACAGTACACTAAATCCTTCTCATGCTTGGAATGTCTCTGCTTTCCACTTCCACCTTCAGCCTTTAAGGGCTCACATAATTACATTGGACCTTATATCCTTATTTCAAAGTCAATAGATTAGTAACCTTAATTATATCTGCAAAGTCTCTTTTGCCAATTAATAGAATATAACCACAGGAATAATATCAGGGAGCAAAAGTCTTAGGGCCAAAATTCTGCCCATTACAATCAGATAATAGAAGATGGAAGAACCAGCAAGGCAATAGCTAGCAATTACTTAGAGCTTTCTTGAGTAGAAAATAAAAAGCACTTATTGGGAAAAATAACTTTTAAAAAACTCTATGACTATTTTCCGTCTCTTAGAAAACTAAGGCATTTATCTCACTTTATCGTTACAAGCAACTGGCAAAATGGTGGCCATCACTGATCTCTGTCAAGGATCCCCAAATGTTTCAGATTACGCTCCTTGGAGGGTCTTAGTCTTCAGAATAGCTTGCAGCAGAGAAAAGAGAGCTGCTATACCACCTTAGAGGTCCTTTCCCATTATAGTAAAAGCTGCCAGCAATTTCAAGCACTCTTTCTGGTTTAGCCAGTGCTAAGTTAGATATTAAATCCTGATAAGGCTAACCCGGCCTGGAGGCTGTTAATTAATGAATAAACCTTGTATGCAAACTAAGCTACTCAGCTCCAGTTAGCAAATTCCAGTAAGAAAATGAAGTGAATGGAAAAATACTTCCTTCTAATTAGGTGAAAAGAGACACTGAGTTTTCAAGTTCTAAACAAAGAGCTGCTTTGTGTCTGTCCTCCTGCTGGAGAGAAGGGAGGAAGACATCTTTGAGCTAGGAGTTCAGAGAGAGCGAGCTGAGGGAGGACTAGTCTGTTACCTGAAAGAGAATGAATGAAGTACAAGCTGTCACATTTTCCAAGAGTAAGCATACAGGTAGTCGAGGGCATTCTGGTAAGAGAAATCGCTCAGGAGGCCACGACGTCGAGAATATGTAAGAACCAAGCACCGGGTTGGGAAGGTCACCAAGACAGCCCAAAGCTGTCTATTCAGTACTCCCCCTCCTCTGCCCTTTGTTTCTGGAACCATTTAAAATGTACCTGGAGGTTAAGCCCCATTACAGACTCTGGGACCCAGCCGTCTTTTGACAGGAGCAATAAATATAGAGAGGTAAGGAAAATCTTCTATCCAGCTTGCTCCAGAATTTCTCTTAGAAAATGAACTATCTTGTTTAGGAAAATATCCTGAAAAGCTAGGTGGGAGTGGAAGGTGCGCTCTGGGACAGGGGTTAACAAAGAGGCAGATAAACTTTTCTGCTTAAAAAATTAAAAGGAACTTGGAGAGAGTGAAGGAGAGAAGAAGGAGAGAGGAGAGAAGGAGAAAGAGTTAGGCAAGATGGTGGGAGTCTGGAGTCTGGCAGTTGGCAGAAATGGCAAAGGGGATTTTTAAGAACAGAGCTATCCGATCTTAACTCGAAGTCATCCACTGTCTAGTGCTGCTCTGTAACTCGCCCAGCAGAAGTTCTATAACATGCTGCTAACTGCTGCAAGTAGTGCTTCAGGAAGAAGCCAAGGAGAAGGAGTTAGATCCTGTGATTAGGTCCACTTTGGGCTAGACAAGAACTCAACCAAAGTGGGGAATTAGAGCAAGAGGGACCATGAAAACTGTCAGCCCACGGGCTGTGCATAAACCTGAGGAGGACACCACACTTACCCCAGGATGGGGCTTGAGCCAATCCTAGCAGATACTAAGAGGCAGAATGACTCCAGCTGACATCTGAGTTACATAAAAATTAGATCAGCCACTCACTGATTCAGCTTTTCATTTATCTTGCTACTTTTCCTGTCTTGATTTAATCACAGTTTTCCCAAAACCTGACTTTACAGTTTTTACTTCTTGGACCAAGTTCCAAGCTTCATATCTAAATCCCCAACAACTGGCCTCCTGCCCAGTACAGGGTTGGGTGAGGTGTGGTCACCCTGGCAATGGGAAGCAGTGTTGGGAAGACCCACTGCTGTCATGATTAAGAATCTTGCGAGCAGCTTTAATTTATGATCACAAGTTAGGCTGGCCAAGGATTTTAGGTGCTGATTTCTTCTCTCTCCTAAACCTGAGGATTCTATGGCTGACGCCCAGTGCTTCCAAGGGGACACCAAGGATGAGGGCATGTCACTGACATAAGGAGAGGTTCAGGGTTCAGATAATTTATCAGGATACATGACTAGATACACTTCCCCAGAAGGCCTGGGAGCATGTATAATTGTCTTCCTTTTGATTCAGGCCTAACAATTCTATCCTCCTTACTTGAGGCTGGCTCATGCTAAGAGCAAAACAACCTTACAGCCATCCCTTTGGAGCCCTGGGCAGAGGCCTCTCGTTGCTGACTAGACCATAAAGATGGGCAACACTTAGCCTGAGATACCACCTGGCACCCTTTCTGCATGGGCTTAGAAACCCCTTATGCCAGAGGCCCAAAGAGACCCTCCAGACTAGTGAATTCTGCTATTTCTACCTCTCCACCGCTGGCATGCTTTGCCTCCACCCTGAATGCTAGCCCCGCTAAAGGCCTATCTTTTTCTGTTACCATCACTTCCATCCTCCCCTTGGCTCATTCTCTTACTTTTCCCTCTGCCACAACCTAACCCTTTCTGCTGGCCCTCTGGAGCCACCATCCATTGGCAAACTCTATTCTTCACAATGTAAGATTATCCCATTAGGCTGCTTTCTCCTCCTGCCTTAACTGAAACATGACCCTTGTTAAAGGACACTGCCTTTCCTTCAGACACCTGGGAGTGAGGATGTTTATTCTTCCATTCTTCATCACACACCCCATGGCTACTCGGGAAAAGAGACGTACTTATTTTTCTGGCTCCATATTACGATATCCAAACACTTATTCTTCATTCAGTTATAAACACGCTCTACTCTTAATTGTGATCGTCATTGTCATTTATCCATGTCTTGGTCACTCACTCCACATTCACTGGACCTCAGTCTAACTCTCTTCCCCAAGTCCTGCAAAGGTTACAGGTGACCTCCACCTCCTCCCCACTTCACCAGTCACTCCTGTGGCTTCACCCTGAATGTGATCACTACCCAGAGATGTTTCAACTCTGCCAACTTAAACTCTAATACCCCACCAAAAACCATTACCAGTCCATTTCCCAGAGCTCTCTTTTAAGGAAATCAAAGAAAAACAACTACTCTTTGACTTCATTTATAGTGCTAACCTGTGGGTCCCTCTATTTTATTCTAATCTATCTCCCATCTGCCTTCACTGTCTTACCTACTTAGGCCTTATGTGCTACCCATTAAACCAGTATTTTACCGCCATCTTTTTTTTATCCATTCAGCAATAGAAACACCTGAGAATAGGCAAGCTCATCTATAAAGGAAACACTAAGAACAATGAACAGTGTTCTATATAAAATAAATATTAATAAAATAACACTTCTACTAGTGTTGACATTATAATCTTAAGATTTTCTAACAAGCTCTATTTAATATTTGGTGAGTAATAAATCTGAACAGAAGCACATCAGATGCCTATAGGTAAACTCTGCTTGGATTTAGAGAGAACCGAAGCTGCTAACATCACCTTTCAGTTGGATTTTGAGCAGTGTTGGAGTAGCAGAACTTAGACAATCCTATCCAAGAACAATTTAATACTTTATTATCCAACAAATGTTTCTCCTTTTAGCATTATCCTGATGCCTTGTCTTTTTAAAGAATCGTCATAGTCTTCAGAGAATTATCTCCTTTTCAACCTAACTCTCCATTCATCTTACATCACTCGTCTTCTCTTATCATAAGGTAGAAATATATCCTAATGTCAAACTATAAAAAGTCACATATATCCAATATTCTTGCCAAAATGTATTAATACTAACCTTCAAATCAAATTTCTGAAAGGAGTCCTTGCCAAGACAAGTGTGCTTTGCTGTTCAGGTGGCAGGTACCATTTTCCTCTTCCTTCTCTCCTGTAAGCCATGGCTCTCTAGAATTGAGACCAGAATCTTATAAAAGGATGACTGTCAAAGTTTGCATCCAACAAAATGGTTGGTAGGAGATCATAAAAAGGAATAGGAATGTAGGGCAAAAAAGCCAGAGATGGGGGAAAAAGATGGTCCCAGCAGCAGATCAAACGACAAAAGACAAAATCCTGAGCTGAAGGCAACAGACACAGCCCAGTTACAAGCCAGGTATTGAGGGGCCACAGGAAAAGCCTACTCAAAGAATTGGAGTCAACTGAGTGAGAGGCACTGGGCAGATGGGAGCACGGGCCCAGCCTCAGGAAACAGGGCTGGCAAGATCAAGACATGAAGAAGGCCTCATCCAGCTGGCTGAGATACAAGGACAGCTTTCTACCCCCACACACCACCTGAGAGCCAGTGACCCAGGCACGCAGGCACAAGAGAGCTTGGGAGGAATGAGCCTCCTCCTGATGGAGGATGGCCACAGGGAGCCTGGCTCCTCTGCCTGGAGGATTAAAAAGCCAAAAAGTTATGGCCAAATCCCACTGATTTGTGGGACAAAAACTATTGATCTGCCAGTCTTTTTTTTGAAAGGGGGGCACTTATGAACTGCTTTGATGGTACATTACGGTAAAGGCTAATAACATTTCATTCATTTATGGATCATTTACTGAAAACCTAACATGTGCTAACTGCAGAGCCAGATGCTGAGGAAACAAAGATAAATATGACAAGGACAAAAATATTACCAGATATATTCGTGGCCTCCTCCTTCCCTTCTATCAACACTGCCAGCCCCTTTGAGGAGCTCATATATCTACTTCTGGAGCTCTGTTGTGCTGGTTAGGAGAAAGGGTGAAAAGGAAGATTGAAAGAAGTCAAAGGAGACCATATAATAAAGAATTGAGCCAGAGATGACTGGAGGAATAGAGGGCAGGGATCTGGAGGAGAGGGAAGATGAGAAGAGGGGAATACAGAGATAGAGAAAAAGAGAGAGAGACAACAAATGAGTAAGGTTGGATTGAGGTGGTGAGAAAATTGGGAGCAGGTGGGTCAATGAGCGGCCCTGGGGAGACAGATCAGTGAAGGCCAGAGTAGCTGGGGAAGTGGGGGAGTGTTTGTGTGTATGGGTGCGTGCTATTGCATTTTCTGCCCATGGTCTCTTGGAGACTTTATGAACTTGGATGCCATACCATGATAAAACCGCTCACAAGGTGGCCCAGTGTTTAGGGGATTACAAAATAATACATGGTTCCTGCCCTCAAGGCACTCAGAGTCAAATAGAGAGAACAGATATCTAACATAAAATAATGCAGTAAAACACTGCAAGTGCTGCGTCACACATCTACTCAGGGCATGGAGGTGGCAAATGAGGGACAGGTCACCTGATTCACTTCTAGCTCAAGGACAGCGAGGTGCTCTCTCAGCAGTAAGGCCAGTAGAGCTTCCGAGGGGACTTTTTAGCTCCCAGCTGAATTACCAAAAGCAACCTATGCCTCAGTCCTGGACAAGAAGAAGCAGAAAATCCAAATTCCCTCCTTGAACTGATCAAAATTCACCTCTAAGTCTCACCTGGGCGTCAGGCAGCAGCCCACTTGGGCTAATGGCAGCTTCCTTTCCTTTTCTGACTAAGATCTCCTTGGGCAGGGTGTGCCTTCTTTTCTACTCCAACAGCACCTAAACAAAGGAAAATGTGTGCAGACTGAGGTGTTAGCATAAGAGAACTCAGTACCAAATCATGCAAACGTGGAAGGGGAAAACGGGTGCATGCTAAATGAAGCCTGAAATTGTATAAGCAAACCACAAAGTCAGCCCCAGAGCGGCTGCAATATTATAGCTGAGGTTTGCCTTGAGTTTGCTACCCCCAGGCAGAGGGAGGACTTCGAGTTTCCAAGCGAGGCTGAAGCAATCACTTTGCTGGTTTGTGCCAGGCAAGTGACTCACTCGCAAACCTGTTTAATATGAAACAGCATTAGGAGACTGGATATAGCCTCAGGGAGATCAGCTGCTAACCAGCTCCGATTATAGCTGCAATCCCTCAAACACAGCACTTAAAGTGTCTTTCCACATGTCTTCAGTGGCACACAAGGGACAGGCAAGGGACTGTCCTTGAAGTAGAAAGATCAGGGTTCTGGTTCCCTCCCTGCAGCAATTCATCATAGGACTTGGGTCAGCCTTGTCTGAAAAATGAGGCTGATGCCTTGTCCATAAAATGGGGCAATACGGTCCCTGCCTATCCCCGGTGGTAATTTTGAGAAGTGAATGAGAAATACTGCGAGAATTAAGGGAGATGATAAAAATGGTAGAGCGCTGTATACCAGATATTATCAGTACACACAAGCATCATAAATCTCCTTTTATACTTTCATTGGTACTAGAGGGAATTTCTCTAAATGGCAGGAGTGAGAAAACAAACATAACAAGCATTTTGCTTCATACTTTAATATCAACAGCCTTGAAAACACCAATTTAGCTGGTTATTGTGGACTTTAGTCATCCTGGCAATAAATTGGAGTCTTCCTAAGAAGATGAGAATTCCTCTCTTCAACGTTATCTGAGTCTGTCAATTATACCATCTCTGATATTTTCAAGCAAGAACTTTAAAGAGATCCCTGTTTGGGAAATATATGAAACTATTTCTCCCATTTGCAATTACATGGGCAACAAAATAAGCAAAAGCGTCTTTCTTTCTTCCCCTCTTCTTTTTTTCTCCTGTCCCCATCTCTGTCCCCAAAAGGAACTGGGTGATGTGGGTAAGTGAGGCACTTGCCTCCGATTAAAAATTTAATTGGGCAGCAAAAAAACTCAAAAATCAAGAGAAATATATTTTAATGAATATTTTTAAAAAACCAAAATTAATGCAGAAAAACCATGATGAACAAAATATCAAAATTTTAAATAAGGGTTAGTGACAGTGCATGCTGAGACATATTGACGTTTGAGGCAAAAGGAAAAATTGGTAATACTGATCCTGTCTTTATTTAAAATTTGCTATTTTGCTCATCATTGATTTTTGCCCCAATTTTGACTTATCAAAGATAGCAATTTTTTTACTTCTTAGATCTAAAATTATAGTTTGCCTTAGTATTGATGGCATCGTAGATTTGGTTGAACGCTTTCCATGTGGTATGTGGAACAAGCGTGATTCCTGGCAGTCAAACTCCACTTGGCTTTGCCTCCCACTGTTTCTTTTAAACTGTTATTCAGTGGAAGTCACCTTCCTTGCTCCTGAAGGAAAACTCTGTGAGTCCCATGGCTTCTCTGTTCACTCCTAAATAATGGACAAGTCCCGCAGCCATTTTAAATCACAAACACAGCCTCAGTTTAGCAATTAGAATGCATAATCCCCTGAAAAAATCAAAACTCACAACTTCACTTGGTAGTAAATCTCCCCTCCACCAGCCGGGGCACAGGAGCCTGCAGTAGGAGTGGAAAATAGGGCCTTCTGCTCTCTGCTCTCCCCACCTGTCCGCCTCACTTACTTGCTACCTGCTGTTTTGTTCTCTCCCAAAATGGCAGGGGCTTGGTGGTGAGAAGAGGAAAGGGATAGCCCAGTTCTTACCTGGCTAGGTGGCTTCACAGTCTCTGGGCCAGGAACATGGTTAACAGGGACCCTTTCTCTTTCGAGCATCTTCATTGGCTCCTCAGAACTTCTCTTTCTCTTAAGGTATCTGCATTGTTTGTCCTATCTGTGTGGTGGGTACATGGATGGTTATTACACAATGGACTCTACTTTTCTGTATGCTTTATATATTTTAAAATTTATTAATTTTAAAGAAAAAGAACTGTGAGAGAAAACAAAGGCGAAGAATCCTAATTCTACATGAAAACAACCTTTGTTGGATAGAAACTTGTCCTATAGGTTTCTTTCTCTTGCTCTCTCTCTCTGTCTTGTATTTTACTACCAGACATTTATGCTCTCCTGGCCTTCATTTTTACCAACTCTATAGACCTATAAATATAAAAGTTTGTCTAGATGGAGATAAACTTCCTTTCCCTGTCACATGCTAGTTTATTTCTTACTCCTTCTGAATAAGCAGAGCAATATTCCACTGGTTTCTAATTTCTTCAAGAATAAATGGCCCTGGCCAGAATCCAGTCCACTCCCAGTCCCCTGGGAACTCGGCGAGAGAACTGGAACATCTCTGCCCTCGACCTCTAGGGCAGAAATCAACAAGAGTCCCACAGCAAGAAAAGCACTGTAAAAACAGCAGTGTCGCCGAAGGCAGAAAACACGTCTTGTTCTCACCACTGAGAGTCCCAGTGTACTGCCTGTCTCCAGGCATTGGTACTGAAGAGAGAAGAATGTTGCAGAGGCTAAACAGTTGTCCCCACTTTAATAAAATAATTGCCTTCATTGTTTAGCTTCACAATACTGGCAATATATTGCTTATATCCTCGAGCACTCATTTTCCATCGCAAAGTCTTCAATATTCTGCTTTATCAGTAGTATTTAAATGTGTGGTTTTATTTTGCCTTCTAGGACCTATAGAAGTTGGAACTGGGAAACAATCTGAATTCTCACACTTTCCCAAGGGCCTGCCTACTTTTCCAATATGATAAGTTTCAAGATGATAAGGAGAGAACAGCTAGCCATGGGTAGATCTTGCAGATAAATCCACAAAGCACAGAGGGAAACCAATACACAGTCCAAGCCCTCTGTGACTAGGGCTGGTTTTCACCAACAGCTGGCTGGGCTCTGGGAGGCAGAGCATTGCCTGTGGGAGTAACAGAAAGGTGGGAGGCAAAGTGACCAGCACCCCTTCCAGGAGTCAAGTCTGAACTCACAGTATCCCTCACTCCCCTCAATCTCCTTCTAAAACTCACCCCAGAGGGATTAAAAAAATGAACAGAAAATGGTAGCAGATGAAACAAGTAAAAAAGTAAAATGTGAAAAGGGTGAAGAATCTCACAGAACAGAAAAGGGATTCCATTCAGCCATGAACTCAGGTGGAGAAAACAAATTGCATCTTTATTTTCACTAACCCATAACTGAAAATCTAGCTTCTCCTTCAATTATGAATGGAGGCCATAAACCACAGCTGTGTGTAGTACTGATGACCTTGCTGCTAGTAGAATTCACAGATATTTTCAATTAACTTTATGGTTGTCGCAAGTATCTCGAAATACTATTTTTGCTCATCACTACTTTGAAATTACGATAGTAATTAAATGTCACTAGATCTTGATATTTAATCTGTTAATAAAGAAGCATATATATACTACACATTCATTTTAATATTTTGATAACTGTATTTCGATAATTGTTTTCCTTTGTGATCCTTTGTATTTTATAAAATAGATTTTAGGACATATTTCTAAGAGACCCAGAGGCTTCATCAGACTGCCAGAGGGGTCTGTCGGGGGAAATAAGGCTAAGCACTCCTTCATTAGGTAGACGCAGAGTAGTCGGGAGGTGCAGAATCCCAGCAACCTAAATCCAAAAGTGTTTGGAAGAGGTTTGGGGGGCCAAAAGGGAACAGGAGTAAAGGTATAACGCTAGGTGTGACTGGGACTATGCAAATCACTAGGTTATGAAACAAGTTAAATGCGCATGGGCTTAGGGATCCCCTTGGTGAAAATCCCAACTGTATAAGAAGGGATCTAGCTTGTCCAAGTGTGGTTCAGAAGGAACCATTCTGGAAGGTAAATCTAGATCCTGTGTCCAGCGTCCTAACCTCCAAGAGATAAGCCAAATCTGTAAATATACAGTCGTCCTACATCTTCTCGAAGTAACTGATGTCAATTCAGTTGAGTAAGCATCCTTTCAACCCTGGGAAGGAATCTAGAAGTAAAAATGATAGAAGCTTTTGGGGGTCGGCCCAGTGGCACAGTGGCTAAGTTCACACATTCTGCTTCTCGGCGGCCTGGGGTCCACTGGTTCAGATCCCGGGTGCGGACATGGCATCACTCGGCAAGGCATGCTGTGGTAGGCATCCCAAGTATAAAGGTAGACGGAGATGGGCATGGATGTTAGCTCAGCACCAGTCTTCCTCAGCAAAAAGAGGAGGATTGGCAGTAGTTAACGCAGGGCTAAACTTCCTCAAAAAAAAAAAAAAAATAGAAGCTTTTATAGCCAACTTTTACTTAACCAAATTGTTAATTAACTAACATTCTCCATTCCTTCTGTAAAACCAACCAACTGGTTCCAAGGCAAACTGAGCACTGGGGCTGCTCTAGTACACTGGCACTTTCTCAAAACTCAGTAATAAGAAAAAAAACAACTCAATTAAAAGTGGGCCAAAAAACACCCAATTATTAAGACCTACTAGATAGCTATCCCTCTGACAATACCACACAGTAATCAAGACAGTGTGTTATTGGCAGAGCAATAGCCAAACGCATCAATGGAACAGAGTAGAGAACCCAGAATTAGAGACATACAAATATGCCCAACTGATACTTTAAATAGACTTTATTTTTGAGAACAGTTTTCAATTTACAGAAAAATTAAGCAGATAGTACAAAGCGTTCCCACATGCCCTGTACCCAGTTTCCTTCATTATTAACATCTTACATTAGTATGGTACATCTATTACAATTAAGCAACAAATATTGATACATTATTATTAACTACTGGTTATAGAGTATTCAGATTTCCTTAGTTTTTCATGTCATGCCTCCTTAGGCTCCTCTTGGCTGTGACAATGTCTCAGACTTTCCTTGTTTTTCATGACCTTTACAGCTTTGAGGAGTACTGGTAATGTATTTTGTAGGTTGCCCTTCTATTGGAATTTGTCTGATGTTCTCCTCATAGTAAGACTCGGGTGATGGGTTATTGAGAAGAAGATTACAGAAATAAAGTGCTGTTTTTATCACATCGTTTTAAGAGTAAATATTATCAGCATCATTTCTGACTGTTGATGTTGAATTTAATCAGCTGGCTGAGGTAGTGTTTGTCAGATTTATCCACTGTAAAGTTACTTTTCCCCTATTTTCAGACTGTACTCTTTGGAAGAAAGTCACTGTGCACAGCCCACACACTAAGGAGTGGAGAGTTATGTTCCTCTCGAGGGCCGAGTGTCTGCATCAATTATTTGGAATTCTTCTGTATTGGAGATTTGTCTATTCTCTCCCATTTATTTATTATTCAATCATTTAGCTCAGTACGGACTCATAGGTATTTATTTTATACTTTGAGCTATAATTCAATCCTACTTTACTTATTCTGTGGCACAAATTGTTCCAACTTGGCCATCGGGAGTTCTTCAAGTTGAGTCCTGTGCACCTTTGACATACGTGCAGCAATATGTCTTTGGTTTTTCTTTAATCACTCTCTTACTTTCTGATATTACAAGATACTCCAGGATCATCTTATATATTTCCTGCCCCAGACCTAGAATCAATCATTTTTCTAAGGAGCCCTATTCCTTTTACTGGAGAATGGTATTAGAAATCACAATGTGGGCACTAGGTGTTATGGTTGCTACTGGGATGCCCAACTGATTTTTGACAATCACATAAAAGCTAGACAGTAGAGGAAGGATAATCATTTCAATAAATGGTGCTGTAGCAATTGGACATGCATAGGCAAAAAAAATTAACTCAAAATGAATCATGGATATGACGTAAAATGTAAAACCATAAAACTTTTAGGAAAAAAAAAACAGTAGTAAATCTTCAGGGTCTAGGACTAGGCAAATAGTTCTTTGACTTAACACCAAAAGCACAATCCATAAGAGGAAAAATAGGACCTCATCAAAATTAGAAAATTCTGCTCTGCAAAAAAAACTCTGTTGAGAGTGAAAAGACAAGTTACTACAGACTGAGAGAAAATACTTGCAAACCGCAAAGCCAACAAAAGACTAGTATCTAGAATATATAAAGAAATCTCAAACTCAACAGTGAAAAAACAATCTAATTAGAAAATGGGCAAAAGGCATAACAGACATTTCACCAAAAAGGATATAAGGATGGTAAATAAGCACATGAAAAGATGTTCGATGTCATTAGCTACTAAGGAAATGAAAATATAAACCATAATGATATATTGCCGCATAGATAAGTGAAAACTATGTTCACATGAAAACCTGTACACAAATGTTCCTAGTAGCTTTTTTTCATAATAGCCCCAAACTGGAAACAACCTAGATGTCCTTCAACAGGTGAATAGTCAAATAAACTGAGTTACATCCATAACATGGGATACTACTCAGCAATAAAAAGGAACAAACTAATGATACACACAAAAACTTGGATGAATCTCCAGAGAATTATACAGAGATCAGTGGTTGGCAGGAGCTGGGGCTAGGGGCAGGCAGGGAGAGACTAACTACAAAGGAGTAGCACAAGGTGATATCGAGGGGTGACAGAAATATTCTATATCTTGATCATGGTAGTGGGGGTTACACAACTGCAAGTGTTTGTCAAAACTCACAGGACCGCACACTTAAAAGAGTAGAGTTTGTTTTATGTAAATTGTAAGTCAATTTTTAAAAACATGAAAATGATAGAAGCTTTTTAAACCAACTTCCACTTAGTTCAATTACTAAATTAACCACATTCTTCATTCTTTCTGTAAAATATACCAACTGGTACACAGGACACTTAACAGCTGAGTACTTCTCTAGTATATTGGCATTTTCTGCTCCCACCAGTTGAGCATAATACACATGGAGAACCATTGCATGTGTTCCCAAACCTACAGATATTAGTTGTGCTTCTTATTTATAATAACATAAATTAATTA